AAATTAATAACTTATTTTTTAGCAATTTAAAGTCGGTTTTTACTTTTTTGTTATAAGTCATAATTAGTTATTTTTTAAACAAATGTTTATAGGTGCCAAAATAGATCCCTTTTACTGGAAACGGGGCATTCCATCTTAGTCCTTGAGGGTGACGACGCACCTGCATTTTGATTCTTGTTAGAGGATAGATGTAAATGTCTATGGACCACAGCATCCACTTGCCATCATGCGGACTGTGTGCTTGTTTGTCACCCTTATTCTGTAAAAAAATGTGCGTGAATGCGTGTTCTTACGTTTAGTATAATTGAGCATGATTCCGGCGTCACTTGATATGTAGGTAAGCAGTGTCTTTCTTTAATGTTCAGAGTTTGGAAAATATTTTTCTTCTTGAGAATCTGGCAGGAATCCGCTTGCAGCACAACTCAGTCAACATGACTTTCGAGGTATAGTATAATTAATTTTGACTATAAAAAGAACTTTAAATTTATTAGAGATTATGGCTTCTACTTTGGTAGTTCTGCTTATTTATGAGGTTTGCGCAATTTAAAAGAGGGCGGGAGATGTTAGAAGTTGAAGCGAAGATACCTCGGCCGGCTGATAACTGTGGTTACTCAAGCAAACCGACTAATAGGTACATATCGTAGTTTAAAAAAAAAATTAAAAGACAAAAGGTTTGAAAGCAAACCAGACGCACTGGCTGATTATAGTTTCGAGAGTTTTTAAGTTGACCACTCTAACTAATAGTTGTCAAAGATATTTTCCAAGTGTTTAGGACGTTTGGAAAAGTGTATAATTTTATAAGGTGAATACTTTTAAGAGATAGATAGGTACTAGTAATAAAGAATATATTATAATTTTTTTGTATCTACTTACCTAGTTTAGTTTGGAATGACCCTCGATATACGATGTCTGTTGCATGGCTTACCATGTAAACCATGTAAATGATGTAAGCAATTATTTAAAAGATTCATTAAGATTAAAAGATTAATTCAATAATTATATACATATATTCATATGTATATAATATATGTATATACAATATTTTTTTAGCCCTTTCTATTTTAATTACTGCTGCACCGGTTCTTGTTTGTCTATCTCTGTTTAGCCTAATGGTTGACTGTGAGAGAAGCCCTATGTTCAACTTTGTGCATGAAAAATTAAATAAATAAAAAAAAATTAAGTGTTTTTTTTCATACACGTAAATTTTATTTAACTATGAAATTTATTTTCTTTATATATTTAAAATTAATGAAAATGTGGAATATTCAAGGCATTAAAAACGTATGATGACGTAAGTTTAACCTCAACATTACGGTACACACCGACGCGACGATACTTTCACTTCTCTGATGAGTGTTGTTCGACTACAAAGTCTTGATACTTTAAACATATTATTGTTAACTAGGTTCATTCACCCATTCATTACAACCTATTAAAAAGTCTTAAAATTTCACTGCTGAACGTATGTAGGTCTTACCTATAGATTACCTCATAAGAGGATTTTGTAACAATAAGGGCTAATAATTTTCTGCTCACCAGATGTAGTTAATTAACACTGAGGTAAAATTTTTTGTTACACAATGTCATTTAATTTAGAAGTTGGTTTTTAATTTATTTTTTAGTTTTTTTTTTTAAAAACGTTACCCCCACACTAGGATTTTCTCCTGTATCGTGGAGGCAGTTTACAAACACAAATTTCACAAGGACAAACATCCAGACCCGGAACAATTATTTGTAGGCCATACAAATACTTGTTCCGTGCGGGATTCGAACCCGCGCCCCCCGGCGCAGCAACTCATTGCTAAGCCACTGCGCCACGGAGCCGTTAATAAAAGTTTATCAGTTTTTAGAGTATTATATTAATACACAAAACAATGCCTCAGTGGTTTGCTCTTTAGTATTTTGCACGTTATAACTGTTTTTTATTTTTCTTCTTTTATGATTATCTGTGGTTTGGTTAATTTATTTTTAATCTTATTAATATAAAATATAGCTAATAGCACAGAAAGAAATAATAACCTTTACATTTTCCGAACAAATTAACTTCCCCGCTATAACATCTGTCAAATATTATACCTCACTTTCTAGTGGCGCCACCCTGGTGGCAGAAAAAGTCGTAAATGCCCTCATCGCTACGGTTTTTTTAAAATTATAAGGGTTTTTTTAAAAAAATATTTTTAGTTATTAGGATGATGGTGCTACCCATCTTCTGTCTGTTCAAGTTTCTCTCTGTCACGTCTTAAGATACCCATGTGATGATATGGGGTAGTGGATATTCTTACACCGCCACTATATAGCAAGCGTACTTACTAGGCTACTGGATGCAAAATTAACTTTTAACAAAACATTGATACCATTAGAATATTAAGAATCGATAAAATAGCACCCCGTGTAGTGGCGGGTAAAAATATCCACTACCCCATATCTTCCCGTGGCTGTCGTAAGAGGCGACAGAGGGAAACTGAGGCAGAAGATGGGCAGCAGCATCTTTCTGATAACAACAAAAGGCAATAAAAAACTGCGGTTATACGGCAAATAGCTAGCAATATACCCCCCATGAGCAATGACACAAATAAACGGCCCCCAGACCCCGGCGATGCAGGTGGCTCAGGTCCGTGCTTTGTGGCATTCCTTGGGGGAGGCCTATGTTCAGCAGTGGACTTGTGAAGGGCTGTAATGATGACGATGATAGAATTTGCACTTAGTGCAAAATTTTACTGTAATTGGCGCAAGTCGTTGTAATTAATTATAAATAAATAAATAAATTTAGCAAAATATTTGCTAATATGATTAAATCCGCTCTACAGTGAAAGGAATAAACTTTATATTTGTATGCGAATCTAAGAAAGTAATTTTTATGCATTAATAAAAGGTTAAAAGAGCGATGTTAATACGACAACTAAATGCATTTTATTGCATTTAATTATTCATGTTTTTTTTTATTTCTGATTCAAGAAGATTAGAAAAATAATTAAAATTTTGTACAGCCGACTTCAATATAAGTTATTAAGAATAACTCAAAAACTATTGGTCTGACCTTATCAAATTCATATGGGACCACACGAGAAGTATCAGCTTTCATATAAAAAAAGAATCATTGAAATCGGTTCACCCGGTAAAAAGTTATGAGGTAACACACATAAAAAAAAAAACAAAAAAAAATACAGTCTAATTGAATACCATCTCCTTTTTGGAAGTCGGCAGATTAGAGGGAAATAGGAAGATTTTTTACGTAAGGTCTAATTAACGGTAACCGCAAGATTAATTATGGGACAAAAATAATGACGAATGAACTTGCACCAGGCGTAAATAATATACCCAAGACTGGCAGCAGTGTCAACAGTGTGATGTCTAGCACTGCGACCCCCATTCCGCCTTCCAAGCGTGACGGTTAAGGCAAATCCCCAGGGAAAAACCCATTTCGATTAGCGAACTTTTACGGGCTGAAAAAGACTTAACTTTACGAGAAGTAAACTAATGATAATTATTATAGTAATAGCACAGCCTAAGAAGAACATACAGTCAGTCATCGCGTTTGATGTTTTCGGAAAAGCCGACATAAATAATAACTTGCTAGGGTTGTCAGCACGGGAAGTAAAAAATAATAATTTCATTTTATTTCACGTTTACACAAATTTATGTGTATGTGGAATATTGATGAAACTACCTAATTGCTTATCTTTAAATTAGGATAACCCACAGTTTCTTACCGCAGATGAAGTGTGTACCATTTTAATTTATTTGCGTGACAGGACAACCCTAGCGGACAGCTTGCCCGCGTTTCGCGCCGCACTGCACGATTGTCCCGTCCAGACGCCTTCGAATACGGACTGTTAGTAGTAGAGACTGTGGTCACTGTTGTAATAGTGCAATAGACATTACGTCATTCCTGGTCGTTAATGCTTACAGAGGCTGCTTTATCTTAGTGGATAGTCGCGTAGTTCAATTTGAGTGTACTTATATCAATTTTGACGCCTAAATCTGCGATACCTGTTGGCGTGAAATAATGATTTTTCTTTAGTTTTTTTGACGATTGAGACAAGCCATGCTACAGCTACATTATGATTGTAGCACGAATGGCTCAGCTCGACCGGGGAAGGACCACGCTCTCACAGAATACCAGCGTAAAATAGCAACTCAATTCTGCTGTGTTTCGAAAGGTGAGTGAGAACCGGAAATCCTTTTTACTGCAAACGAGGCATTCCATATTAGGACTAAGATGGAATGTCTATATAAAAACCTCTCTTCAACTTGAAAAACTCATGTCCGGCTTTGGACTTTTACGGGCAAATGATGCAAAAGAAGAAAAATAATAATGTTGATTATAGCAATAATGTGCTAGACATTATGTTATAACCAGTAGTTTATGCTTCCCTGTAAGCATAAACTACTGGTTATAACATACTAGTTATAACCACTTTATTTCAGTGGATAGTGGCGTAGTTCAATTTGAATGTGCCCAGATATAAATTTTAACAGCTTGTCTATAGATGACTTATTGAATAGTCTTATTGGATAGCCTATTCAAGTCTATTGGTGGGGATAACTTTTCCAAGGTGTGTCTGTGAAAATTTGTGTATTTTTTGGGCTATTACATATAATGCCGTTATTAAGTTGAATATTTTACTTTTCAATTAAGTAAGCATGACCTTATATCGTCAAATATCAAAACTGTTTATTCCGCGTATCAAATGAAAATTAAAGCGAAAAAGCACAAATTTTCATAATATGTACAGCCAATTATTACTAGTATAATAACTACTATAATACCTTTTTGTTGTTAAACAATAATGTGCTTAACAAATTTGTTAAGTAGGCCATTTAATCATCATTAACATTCATAACAGGCTCTCAACTTCCATCACCACCGTAACAGTTTTGTAACCGGTTCGTTGGACAACGCACGTACACTAGTTGGACTTGGACACAGTGCTACCTGTGCTTACTATATTTATAATAAAAGTTGTGTGGTTATTTTAGCGACAAAATAGTATTTTAGAATGGAACAGCGTATGAAATTGTTTTTGTTTATGGTAAGTGTAACCAATCATGTTATGTAAAAAACAAGTTGATCGCTTTCTATTGTTATATAAAGATACTCATTAAACTGTAAAAGAAATAAATTAAGAACACTTAAGTGTTATAAATATTAATTATTTACATAAATTTTTCGTTCATTTTCATAGAATTTCATATTATTTCAATTTATAGCATTGTAATGAAGGTCATTCCTAGTTCGGTAGAATTATTGGATGCCTTTAAGAAGTCTGGATATTCTCTATCAGTTATTAAATAAGTCTTCTAAATCGGTTAACTGGGATAATGCTCCATTAAACCATGTGAAAGTGGATACAGCGCTTTAAACATTAAAAAAGAAAATATAGTCGCATATCAGTCGGTTATAGACAACTTTCTTCATTTTAGTTATTTAGCTATTCGTCAATAGGTGTCACTGTTATTTGTCCAATAAATTAAACTTCCGCTCGTATGTAATAAATTAATTGTAAAATAAATTGTATATTACAGCTCGTCGTAGTCCTGTCCCTAATTATTACAATCGAGGCATCCGTACCACAACCGAGGGCACCTAATTTCCAATATTTTGAAAGGTAAGCAGGTCGATTTGATTTTTATTTAAAAGTCCCAGCCCATGTAATAATATTATGAGAAGTTATAATTTTATAATTACTACTGAATACATACATTAAATATCTTCACATTAAGTTATTGGCGCGACGATGTCTTTACAACGCCATCTCTTGATACAAAGCAAAAATTATAATGCAAATTCTTAATTTAATTCTATATTTTAAGTAACTTATATTAACACTTACTTTTACTTGAAATGAAGCATTCCATCTTAGTCCTCAGGGGTGACAACGGATCTGAGTTTTGATTCTTAATTGAGCATAAATGTAGAGATCTATGGGCCACAGCATCCACTTACTATCAGCTGGACTGTGTGCTCGTTTGTCACCTTATTCTATAAAAAAAATTAAAACAGGTATGTTTCACCGAAACTAGAATGTTCCCCTCCGATGTTACCCTGGCGGACTGTCAATATCAGCTTCTGTTTCCTAAAATCCTAGACTAGAATAGACTATGGGAAACATATTTTGGTCTTCAATAGATGGCGCTTACGACATTTTATACCAGTGTAAAATATCCGGACCGCCAAAGGGAAACTACCACCGATAGAGCACATTACTAATGTGAAGTGTCAATGGGTCGGTTATACCGTAGGGGAGGGAAGGTTCTTGAGTGGCTAACACAAAACAGTAAAATCAGTGTATGGCTCCTCCACTAATACATGCGAATGACGTTAAAAGGAAATCGATGAATGCGGGTGACTCAGGACTAAAGCAGTGGACTTGTGATGGGCAGTGTTAATGGTAATGATGATAAACCAGAATTTTTGAAAAGATCATTATAATAAAAAAATATATTTTTCAGGCCGAAATATCGGTACCCGTATTATGACGAAAACGGCAAAGGAAAACTTCTCTACGGCTACGGAGGACCAGAATTGTATCAATATAAATCCTATTCGCCGCTAGAGGGCATTCACTAAAATATTATAATAATTAAAAACAAAGAAGTGTTATTTGAGTATTTTTATTTTTATTTTGAAACTAGTGACTATTGTAACGGTTTATTGTACATACAGTATACGAATTAATTAATAAATAAATAAATTTATAAGCATACAAAAAAGTCTCTCTGATTATTTTCGCATTAATTCAATTTACCTCAAATGATTAATATTCTGTAATTCTCTTCTCCTTTTCCGTTAATTACTATTCTACATTAGGTATAGTATTAGTACCTACCACAAATATAATACCGTGGTAGCTCAGATGGTTAGCGCTCGCTGTAAATTTCATAGTACGCGAGCAACCAGGGTTCAATCCCCGCCAATTGTGTTGATTTATTACGTGCTCAGCAGTGAAGGAAAACGTGAATCGTGAGGAAACATGCATGTCTAAAAAAATATTTCGAAGACATGTGAAGTTCGCCCACATCAATACAAATTGGTTCAACGCGGCGGACACTTCTCAGCTCTAAAACCCTCTCAGAAATGAAGGGTCCTGTGCCCAGCAGTGGGACATATATTATAGACTGTAACTTTTAACTTTAACAAATACTCCCTGCTTTTAGGTTCCGCCGCAGTCGGATAAAAAGAGTTTCTAATACCGTTCAAATTATATCAATAATGACAAGTCGTAAGACATTTCATCTCGATCCTCGGAACAGCGCATCTGTAGCCATTTTTGATTGCACGTATCCATGAGCTACAGCAGTCACATACCATCATAGAGTGGATGTTGGCTGGTTTTTAAAAATGTTAAACACATCGTCAACATCAGCCTGTCGTAGTCCTCAGATAAACATTGATGTTTCCCAAGGCGCGCAACTTAGGCCACCGAACAGTTGCTGCCGACAGACTTACACAGATCGTCGCTCCATCTAGCTAGGGCAGGGGTCAACAATCTGCAGTTCTTTCGATGTAAATTGCGGCTCTTCAACTCGATACGCAAAAATTAACTATTTAATTCTAGCTAAAATACTTTAATATTGTTACGAGCTTGGGGTTCGAGACAATTAAAAAATGCCGATTGAATTACCAAAATTGACACTTTAATTACACTACACTAATTACTATCTAAAACCACACTAATAATAAAACACAATTGTACTACTGATTACTTAAGTTCGCAGTTGTTTCGCTTCAAAGTATTCTTTTGTATCGCCAATTCAATACTGACTCGGTCGTGGTCTATACCGGCCTTATATAGGGCCTCAGATAGTTTCCAGAACCTTCTACGGTAGCGACATCTAGAATGTTCGAGTACATATCGGGCCCGAAACTTCTAGAAGGATCTTGACTCTCTTAGTTCTGTTACTCGACACTAGAGGGCGCTAGTGGTGACTAGTGTTGCCATGTACAAGACATTAATAGTGGCGCGCAACAATGCCCCCTCCTAAAACATGCTCGGCCCGAGCATTATTGGTCCCATAATAACGCGTCAGTCGATCCACATGGACGATCTGAGGAGTACCTTTGGCACCTTTCTGTATCAGGTATGTTACGTCGTTAATCCATGTCACAATCCGGTACGGTCAGTCCCATTTAGCTTGAAGCTTAGGAGATTTCCCTTTGCTGCGAGCTGGATTGTGTAACCACACTAGTGAACCTTCGGCAAACCCTTTGTTGTTCATTTTGCGGTCATACCGTGTTTTCATCTTCTCAGACGTTTGCTGGCCCGTCTGTCTGACGTGCTCATAAATGTCATTCATTTTGTTTCGCAAGTCATTTGCATAATCGGTTATACTGCGTGGGGCATCAGGTGGAATTCCGGTGATCAGGTCTACAGGCAGCTGTAATTCTCTCCCAAAGCTTGCGAAAGCTGGTGTCACTGATGTACTTTCGTGAACAGCGCTTCGATATGACAACAAAAACGGTTGTATGTGCCACAACTTTTGCTAGGTACATTCCAATGTCTGATTAAATCGTTCTACCATTTCATCAGATTGTGGGTGGTAAGAAGTTGTTCGTGTTTTATGAGTACCCATAATTCGGCAAGTTTCCTGGAATATTTGAGACTCAAAATTCCTTCCTTGATCGCTGCGATTCTCTAAGGGTACTCCAAAACGACAGAAGACTTCATGAACTAGTTTATCTGCAACTGTTGAAGCTTCTTGATTTGGAATGGCGAAGACTTCTGACCACTTAGTGAAGTAATCCATCACAACCACGAAATGCTTGTTACCATTTTCACTTTCCGGAAACGGCCCCGCAACGTCAATGGCTATCCTCTTCCATGGTGCACCAACATTGTACAATTTCAATGCGCCTCTACTACGAATTTGAGGTCCCTTTACAGCCGCACAACTTGTACATTTGCGGCACCAGTCCTCGACATCGTCACGACAGTGGACCCAGTAAAACCGTTCTCGGATCTTCAGTAGAGGTCGTTAGACTCCCAGGTGGCCTCCTGAACAAGCACTATGGTATAGCTGTAGAACATCCGGTACTTTAGCCTTAGGGACAACCATTTGCAAATGACATCTGTCTCCCCGACCATTTTCCCATTTACGGCTCAGGACTCCATCCTGAATCAGCAAGCTGTCCCATTGGGTCCAATAGCTTTTCGTGGTCGAACTCATTGCTGAGACGTCGCTCCACTTGAGCTTGGAAGCACTGGCCTTCATCCATTCCAGAATCGGCTTAATGTCCGAATCTTCCTGCTGTTCATGTTGTAGGCTGTCCTTCCACTCATTGCTGAGCTGGTCTGTCCTGAGTATCCTCACAGATACCACTTCCTTACCCTCTTGCCTAGTACAATGCTTGCAATCTTCAGGGCAAGGTCTTCTTGACAATGCATCTGCATTGCTATGAGATTTCCCGCTGCGATATTCGTATTCCTGCAGTAGTTCAATCCATCTCGCAACTTGTCCTTCCGGATTTTTGTACTGCAATAGCCATTTCAGTGCAGCATGGTCAGTTCGTAAGTGGAATTTCAGCCCCAGAAGATATTTGCTAAAATGCTGCAAGGACTTTACCACAGCAAGCAATTCCCGTCTTGTGACACAATAGTTCCTTTCCGGCTTTGACAACGACTTGCTGAAGTACGCTATCACAATCTCTTGATCACCATTCCGTAGAGACAACACACCGCCAAGTCCTATATCACTTGCGTCTGTGTCAACTATAAATTTCTTGCCCGCATCAGGGTATCCCAAAATAGGTGTTTTGCACAGACGGTTCTTGAGCTCCTGGAATGCAATATCGCAACTTTCATCCCAGCAGAAATGTCGCTTCTCCTCGGTTAGCTTGTGCAGAGGTTTGGCTATATCTGCAAAGTTCTTCACAAATCGCCGATAATAAGAGCACAAACCCAAAAATGCTTTAACCGGTGTCTTTTTGAACCGGCCACTCCTTGTCAGTGGCAATTTTCTCTGGATCCGTGCGGATACCTTCTTCCGACACTACATACCCGAAAAAGCTAACTTGCCGTTTGAATAGTGAGCACTTATTCGGACTCAATTTGAGGTTGGCACTCTGGATCTTCATGATCACGCGTTCCAGGTTTTGAAGGTGTTCCTCCTACGTACGGCCTACGATGATGATGTCATCCAAGTAAACCAGACAGGCATCTCCAATTAGCCCGGTAAGTACAAGCTCCATCAACCTTTCAAACGTTGCTGGAGCATTGCACAATCCAAACGGCATGACTTTAAATTGCCACAGACCCTTTCCTGTGGAGAATGCAGTTTTCTCCTTGTCCTTAGGGTCAATTTCAACCTGCCAGTAGCCACTTTTCAGGTCCAGCGTACTAAACCACTTTATGCCTGTAAGCATGTCCAGCGTATCATCAATTCTTGGTAAGGGATAGCTGTCCTTCTTCGTAACGTCGTTCAGGCGGCGGTAGTCAACACAAAACCGCATGCTGCCGTCCTTCTTCTTTACCAGAACCACAGGTGAACACCATGAACTAGATGAAGGTTCAATAACACCATCCTTCACCATTCCCTCAGTCATGGTTTCCACTTCCTTTTCACGTGTTACAGGCAATCTTCTTGGCCGCTGACGAATAGGCAATTCTTCTCCTGTGTATATTTTGTGTTGAACTAAGCCAGTCTTTCCTATGTCAGCTTCGTTTTGACGAGAAAACATTGGCGTACTTGAGTAACAACTTCTTCGCCTTGACCATTTCATTCGGGGAGAGAACGCTGCGACAGTCTTCTAAAAGTGTGGTTACTCTCGTTTGTCCATCCTTGTTGGGGGTCCCAGTCGATAGATATTGGCACCGATGCAACCAATCCACTTCCTCACTAGTACCAACCAATGTGCCTTTTTCTATAATCTGTTCCTGATCACAAAGGTTCAACACACGTACTCCTGAGATGTCGGTGGTTCTGACCAATGTTCGAGCCACTTTCCATGGAAGGTCATTGTCTACCCTTCCCACGAGTACACAACGATGAGCTTGCGCAGGATTCCGAGGAAGACTAACCGGCACAATCGTTTCCAATATCGGCGGAAGAACAATCTTCTTAAGGCTGTACACATTCCCTGGTAACGCCTCTTCCACAAAAAGTTCCTCTTGTCCACATTTCAAAACATCTTGCTTTACGTCGATCTCACAACAATTCTTCCTCATAAAGTCTAGGCCCAGGATGCAGTCGTTCATTATATCAGCCACGATGACATTATGCAGGTAGATCATGTTGCCTAGCTTCAACTCCATCTCCTTCTCTCCACGGACGGATATGCCCTGACCAGTGGCTGTCACCAAATTAATGCGTTCTCGGTTGTATGCGGAGTCCCCAAGGAACTGACTTATAAGTTGGGAACTCACAACCGTGCGAGAGGCTCTAGTGTCTATGGTCAGTTTACACGACGTTCCGTTGATCTCGCCCTTGATTATTAGGCTGTTCCCATCATGGGTTTGTGAGATCGAAATCCTTGGGGCTCTTTTAACATCAGCCAGCACCCGCCAGTTTCCCTGCTGCTGCTGGGCGGTGCTGTTAGCCGCACTACCCTCTCGAGATCGATTATCTTCCCTT